CTCCCAACTCTGAAAATGTTAGAAATCCTCTCCCTTGGTAGAAATACTATATTCCAAATTGAATGACACTGCATAAAGTATATATCCTGGGAAGAAAAGCTGTACAAATTTAAGATAGTTATTATAAACTGGCAGTAACGTTGTGACCACTATTTGAATTATGACTTATTTCAAGGTCTGAAATCCTTCAACTTCCTGAAAATGTTAGGTAAGAAAATCAGATCTTTGGTGGTGGGGTAGAGCAGAGAAGAAAAAGTGGGGGAGGCGTCTGTTCAGCTGTAATCATAGGCATGAACCAAGAGGTTATGCTATATGTATATTTTAGCGTTTGCTGGGAAGGAATGTGCAGAAAGAAGCCTCTGTTGATTTTTGCTATTTTCACTTTTGTAACTTCTGCGGCCCAGCGAAAAGAAATACAGTAATGTTTTGGAAATGTTTTGTCTTAAAGGAGGGGAATTTATAAAACTTATCAGCATTAAGTATGCAAATTCTTCATGCTATTGCTAAGATTTATGAAAGATGAATACAAAGAAGAGGACACATTGCAAAGTTAAGCTCTGTTCTCTCATGGCTGGATTGTGGAGATTCTGGCTCATTTGCAGAATATTTCACACTTGCCTTGTTTTCAGGCATCTGACTTTCATTGTAACAACTTTTCATTGTGGGCAGTGTTATAAATTTGAATATAGGTTCTGCCACTCGACTAGTGTGTGCTGTGACCTTAATGCAAGTCACCTTGTCCTCCGTGCTCTGGCGTTTTCCTCTAAAATGAGGATAATAGCGCACACCTCATTGAGCTGCTGCAGGATTCCTTGTGCTGGATCTCAGACACAGCATGTTTGACAAATGTCCACTGTCGTTATTATTAAAGGTCACTAAGATAAAAGAGAAGACAAGTAACTCAAATTGGAGTAGTGTACACCTATTAACACAGGGATTATCCCCTATGACCTGTGTCCTTTCTGATGTAAATATTTCTAGAAAGACTTCCATAACATTGTCTTGAAGAAAGGTAAGCTCCCGCAGCCCCGGCTGGTGTGGCTCGGTAGATTGAGTGCCGGCCTGCAAACCAAAGGGTTGCAGGTTCTATTCCCAGTCAGAGCACGTGCCTGGGTTGTGGGCCGGGTTCCAAGTAGAGGGTGTGCGAAAGGCAACCACACACTGATGCCCTGTCTACCTCCTTCCCTTCCCCTCTCTCTAAAATTAAATGAATAAAATATTTTTTTAAAGGTAAGCTCCTATTGTCAGAATAATTCACTCAGTGGACCACTTCCCACTTAAGCAACTCAATAAACTGTTACTGTAATTCTTGGGATGGGCATATGTAGGGAGACAAGATGCCCGTGTTAGGACTGCCCAGTGGTAGGAATTGTGGAAGAAATGAAGGGTTCCATCTCTGGGATGACGTGTGTGTGCTGGGCACCCCTGCGTTTCACTCCCATTCCACACTCTGCCCACCGGACACACGCAGAACATCCGCCCTTTGTTTTTACTACCTAGGTGTTTTATTTGGGCTTAAAAAAAAAAAAAACAAGTCCTGAATTTCCCTAATTTTTCCTTACATATCCAACATTTGATGCAGGGGAAGAAGGGTTATTTATCAGATTTATGGAGTCACTGTAGTGTGCCAGGCAGTGTCCTAAGCTTTTGGGTGACTGTGTCCTCAGAGGGGACACCACCAACAAAGAAGGAACAAGGTGGTAAAGGGCTAGAAGAGAATTCCGGTCCAACTGGAAACACAGATGAAGAATGAAGATAAGCGCTATGGCCATCGTAAGGGTGGGTTCAGAGAGGACATCATTAAGGACTTAAAAGGTTTCTGGGCAACCGAGGGGGCTTCTTTAAGAGAGGGCAGTAGAGAAAAGCATTTCTTTGCCAAGTACATGGGGTGTTTTGTTGATTAGGCTAGTATGGCCAAGTTCCTTGAGGGCAGGGGTTGTCCCCATCAGCGGAGGGAGTAGTAGGCCTGTCACTTCCTCTGTTAGTCAAGACTCCTGTGGGAAACTGGGTTTTTAGCAAGTGCTGCGGATGGAAATGAAGTCGCCGCCTTTTTGTCCCCGTTCATAAACGTGGGTCCTAGGCACTCTTCGGTGAGGAGGAGCTTCTCTGTGCTTTGTCCAAAACTAATCTGAATATTTAAAGTTGTTAGTGACTTGTTACCTTTTATTAGGGATCGTTGCAATTTCTATGACATGCAAATATTTAAAACATACAGCATTAAGATAATACTTTTGACCTGATGTAAGAAAGTTTTTAAGAATGTTTACTCGTATGCTTTGATACAAGGATATGTTTCTAAGCGGTAAACTGGGGTAGGTTTCCAGGCGTTAGAAGCCACCTAGTGTCTGTTAGATGGAAGGGGTGTTTCATTTAAGAGGGAGGACTGTTTTAATGAGCTGTTTCCTTTTACGGAGTTTTGGATTTAACAACTGGGTATTTTTATTTTGTTGTTATTTACTTTTTCATTAATCTACTCGCTAAAACTAGACAGTCTTCATTTTGGCTAAACAAATTATTAATCCTGTTCACTGTCATCTTTACTTTGTTTTCTTATTAGTAATGTATTTGTAAAACATGATGATAACTTTACCACTTATTACTTGATTTTGAATAATAGTACCCTTTGCTTGTATTTTACTTATTAACCTTTGTGGTTACAAAATAGTCCTAGTATAGGACTGCTAAAATTGGGTAAGTTATTTTAGTTGGTTGAGAAAGAGTGTCAACATGTTCAGTCTCAGCAGTTCTTAGCAGGGAAAACAGGAAAATTATTTGCACTGAATGTTTGTTTCAAAGGATTCTTTCCGTTGATTTGAAGCAGAGCTCACAAGTATCACCTGCCAATTCTTTTCAGTAAAGCAGCAGCCACTGTGATAAATGTTTTACAAAAGTTGCAGGTCCCTTAACTAAAACTTAAAAAATAAAACTGGAAACAAAAGTAAAATAGAATAGTCGTTATAACAAAAATATGGATTTGGGCCCTGGCTGGTGTAGCTCAGTGGATTGAGCGCGGGCTGCGAACCAAAGCGTTGCAGGTTCAATTCCCAGTCAGGGCACATGCCTGGGTTGCAGGCCACGGCCCCCAGCAACCGCACATTGATGTCTCTGTCTCTCTCTCTCTGTCTCTCTCTCTCTCTCTCTGTCTCTCTCTCTGTCTCTCTCTCTCTCGCCCTTCCTTCCCTTTCTAAAAATAAATAAATAAAATCTTTTAAAAATAGGGATTTGATTTGTAAATTGCCATTACAGAGTAACATAGTGAGGTCCCATCTTGGAGCTAATGTAAGGAAGACAGTGTTTGGCCAGTAAGCTGTGCCTTTTTAGGATCAGGACAAAGCAGGTGTCTCCGGGCTGCTTTCTGTGCCTTGTCGAGTGTCTCTTTAAGCTCTGTCCTCCCTTTGTGCTGAGCCAGTAAGGTGCTCTGAGGATATTGTTGGAGCACAAACGTTCTTCCTGTTTCAAGGCTGTTTTAGTATCATTTGACTCCCAGAAAGCAAATTTGTTCCCAGAACTGAAAGTGAAATTGAATTAACTAGGCTTCACTTGGTGACATCTTAAATTATATCTGATGTAAGAGATTAAGAATTGAAATGTAATACAGTATGCTCTAGCTTTGTTTTCTTGTGACATTTTATATTCATGCAACTTCTCTGTGTTGTCCAGGTGAAGGCTACCGCCTCACACCTCCGCCCAAGGTTGTAACCATGTCCTTTGGTGGTGCACTGGTGTGTACAGTGTGTTACTAATTATAAAAACAGTCATATGCCTTTCCCTTCACCTCAAGAACATCATCTGACTCTGAAGTGCTGCAACAGTTCCCTGAGATGAGAGCTTGGGAGTGGGTCTCTGCTCTCTATGTGGCCACACAGTGCCCGCTGGCAGACACATTCCCCCTGTTTGGTGGAGGCCAGGCATCATGCCAGACCTAGATCCTGTGAGCAGTCAAGAAGTGGTTCCAATAAAGAATATGTTTCTAATTCTCAAATTTAGCCAGCATCCCTTCGGTTTGTTTGTTTGTTTGTTTGTTTGTTTTAGTTTTGAAAATTGTGTAAAAAATACTGCCTGCAATATTTAATTTTTCTGTAACTGAGAAGCATGTAAGGGAGCGTACACAAATGAAAATGTGGTTTAAAAATCATCTGAAGCTTTAAAGGCTGAATTGGAAAGGGACAGTGATACATGATGGTTTGCTTGTTAATATTAAAATAAATAAAAATTGGTGTGTTAACTTTTATGTGTAGATTTTTTTTAATAATTCCTCTTCCACACTATTGACAACACAATAAAGAAGTAATGTTTATATATTAACTAAATTTTGTGCAAATGCTAAAACAATTAATACAATTTCTAAATTTAGGCTAAGGCTGTCTGAAATCAAGATTGTTTCCAGTGTTCCATATAAGAGTTTCCCCCCAGACAACATTCTCTTAAAGGCATTTATTTATTAATATAATTACTAAATGTAATCTTATGGTTTTTAGGCTAAACTTATGGTAGTAATAAATTATATTGTAATTAAAAATAATTTTTTAAAGAGTTGTGTTATACATAGTAAGTGCTACATAAATACTTCAGGGTGAAATAGAGCACAGGTTGACTTACAGTTGTGTGTTGAAGTTTGTAATGACTGGGTAGTTACAGGTACTGGCATACTTTCGCTTTTTCCTTTTGAATGTTAGCGATGCAGTTTTGTTTTTGTTTTGTTTTTTTTGTTTTTTTTTTCAGTTTGTTTTGCTACTAATGATCATAAATTATTTTTATTGGTTTGAGAGAAGCATTGATTCGTTGACCCATTTATTTATGCTTTCATTGGTCGGCTCTCATCTGTGCCCTGACCAGGGATCAAAACCACAGCCTTGGCCTATTGGGACGATGCTCTAACCCACTGAGCTGCCTGACCACGGCCCAGATAATGATATTAAAATGTACAAATGGGATTATTTTTTGACAGATTTTTTTTGTCTTTATTGTTTTTGTTTCATCTTCATTTGTTTTATTTGCAGGTGTTGACTTTAAAATCAAAACTGTAGAGCTAAGGGGCAAGAAAATCAGACTGCAGATCTGGTGAGTGGAGAACCTGTACTCTGTAATTGCCGTGTGTGTTCAGCCATCCACATGCTTGCCTAATACAATTAATTAACCCCGTGAGCTGGTTGGCCTCTCCTGCTTTTCCTCTCCTTTGCTCATGTTTAAATAAAGTGAATGTTGAGAGAGAATTGAGAAGAGTCTACGTATTTCATACCCCATCTGTGCACAGGGAGTTGTGCAGAGAAGAACATTAATGATAGTGAACTTGGAGACTTTATGCCTCTGTTTTCAAATCATTTGACAAAACCGCCATCACCAAAATGATGACTGAAGTGCTCATCTTTGTGTTTTTAAAGTTATTTTGTTTGATGGTGTTCAAAGAAAGTCCAGTATGTTTTTAACAGATTTGCACAATTTAAAGCCAAATCACCTCCAGGTAGTTCAGGGGCTGTCCTTGGTGGCACAGCATGAATATCACTGTGGGGCGCGCACGCACACACACTCCTTTGGCTGTATTGCTGATGCCACGTGACGTAAGTGCCCACTAATGTCAACTGCAAATGAATCCACAGCCACTTTCTCACATTAACAATCATATGAGGAACCAAACCAGCCGTGTTACAACTGTTTTCAGCCCTAAGAGCTCTCTGCTGGCTCTCAGCAGCCCACAGGGGGCCTTAGGAATGCGATCCAGTGGAGAAAGGATCAGGTCTGGTGGAGGTTTAACAGTAACTGCTGAGGTGTTCTGAGAATGCCCTTTTGTTTTTAACGACACAGCTGCAGTGTACTCAGCTTACTAACTCCTCTCGGCAGGTCAATCTCAGCTCTGAGTGTTTGTCCACCATGTGTGTGTTTGCTTTCATCTGCGTTAATTGCTGCCTCATCTGTGGCATCATCGGTCACCTAATGCTTGAGTGTTAGTGCCATGCCTTCATTCTTCATCTGTGTCCCTGTCTGGGGCACAGCTGCCGCCGAACCAGCATTGCTTGTCCACCGGAGGTGTCTGAGGTAATATCTTTATTTGGTCATCTGTGACTGTATAACCTACTTTTAGAATTCTTTTGGCTATTGTTGTTTTTGTTTTGTGTTTTTGTTTTTAACTTGATTATAAAACATTAACAATCTTGCCTACATAGTTGATACCAGAAATAATGCATATTACCGCATTAGCCCATGGTTGGAAAGGCAGCAAACTGTTCTGTGTATTGCTGCCCATTTTTTGAACTCTGGAAATGGCAACAAAGTATCTTCGCTTGAGCTGCTGTTTTCAATTTCATAAGCTCTTTAAGGTAAAGACCATCTTTAAAAGTACTCATAGTGTGATCCTCCTGTGTACATAGTACTCATAAGTGAGATGCTTTTAATGGAGGCTGCCTCACAAGGAGACACTACGAATACTAGAATGTTTGTGAAGCTTGCTTAGTGGATGACAGCAGTGTCTAAGTGATGACGTGGTGGCCTGTGTTTAAAAACATGCCTTAACTAATATATTAATACTCTAGTTTTCATCTCAGGCAGTAGTGATATGTTTCACAGAAGTGTGTCCAAATGCCCTGTGCCTCCTAGAGCTCCACTCCCTAAAGTCTGTGCTGGCGCCATTGGATACTTCTGGCATCTCCCTTCAGTAATTTGAATCTAAGAGGTACTGCCTCATGGGGAAAAGTGGGATAGTGCAGTTCCAAGAAATGCATGGGACACCTCCAGAATACTTCTTTCTTGGATGTAAAAGCATTTCCCAAATAGTTCTTCCTTTGCTTTTCCTTGGCTCATCACTCCTCGGACTTTGTTCTCAAAATTTTTAAAACTGTACAACACTGGTGAAGAGTATAACTGAAGGAATAAAGACAATATTTACTGATTTATTGAGAGGATGATTGCAAGTTTTCTGTGGGGCATATCCCAGTGATTTAGCTAGGCAGTAGGATTTGTCTTTCCCTGAAGGAAGAGGCATTACTGTTACGAAGTAGGTAGAAAAGAAGTACTAGTGTGTGGCTCATTATTTAAAGTAACACGTGGCTTATTTCAGAGTCAGCGGCCATTCTTGAGCCATTGCTGTTGTAATCTGCTTTGTCGAGGACGGACTGTCGTCACTTGACTGTCGTCACCAGTTGAGGGCATGGGAGGAGCCCCTCAGAGAGACTGCTGATAACAGCTGTGCTCCGGTCTCATAGCTGGTCAAAGCGGGTCACGTCGTGGAAGTGTTGCCAGTTGGTTCATAGAGAGGTGTTGTCACAAGAAATGTGCTTTTTCTTGATGATTTCTGGATATAGCAAATCTAAAAAGAAAATTATTTACTGTAGATTCTTAGGGCTTTAAGGTACCAAAAGTACAATGTCATTGACACATTTTTAGGTCACATTTTTCAGTTCCTTGATTATCTAGGGTTAGAAAAAGGACCATTTTCTCAACTCCGTACTTGAAATGTTTCTACATGTGTATACATAATAACTTAAAGTATAACTAAAATTAAAATGTTTCTGTTAGAATAGATTGTCATGAATTTACATCCAAATGCTATCCTGGAAGTCCTGGAAGTGACACACAGGGACTTGGAGTCACTGCATTGAAATGGGACTTGAAGCCATGACATGTGTCTCCCACCCCTCGGCAGACACGGCTCTGAAATGCTTTACATCAGGGCCCCTCGCACTATCCGTCCTTCCTGTCTTTCCTGTTGGTGAATTTGCCTTCATCACTGTTCTTGCAAATGTCAAGCTCCTTTGCTTTCACTCTGTGCTTGGAAGGTGGTGTGGAGCATTTCACATACTGAAATTGGTTCCTGCCCTTCCAATTAGTAATTGTATCATTCAACTAGATATATTAAATATGACAAATGAGAATCTGAATTTTTTTAGGCATCATTGTGTTACCAAATTGGGGAAACAAAATTGCAGGGATTTTTTACTTGACACCAAAAGCAGAGAGAGAAATAATAGTAAAATCATGTGCTAACTGTAGTACATGATGATTTACCTGACAATAAACTGAAATCTCTAGAAGTCAGCTCTTTATCATCACAGTGAAAATTCAGGTTCATGGAGATAAAGGGTGAAAAGATAGGATTCTTCATCTTCATGGAAAAAGATAAAAGTGTGATCAGATTGGCATGTTACCAAGTTTTTAGAAGAGAGGAGACTTGTGCAGGTTTTTATGGTCCTGGCATATAGTAGGCATTTAATAAAAACTTGTTGAACAGAACTGACATTTCATTAGTCTTGTTTTTTGAACATATATGATAGCAGATAATTTAGTAGGGGAAATAAATCAAGCAAGAGAACTTTTGAGACAAATAGAAAACTTTCAGAACCCAAATATTCTGGAAATAAGAAACAGTCTCTCGAAACAAGGTGCTCTTCTACCTCGAGCATTTAGAGCCAGTCACAAAAAGATAGGATTTAAGGAATGGTCTTAAATGGAGAGGGGTGAACTAGTTAATGTTTCCTCATTGGGGTTTTTTTTTGTAAACCTTATTTACTCATTTATTGGTGTTAGAATGATTGCCTCAGGTTTTGCACTTTGAGGTCTCCTCTTTTTGTATGTCTGACTTAAAGCCATCAGAGACAGCTAACTTAATGTTTCTAGGATTCCTAAGTATGTTACTCATGCAAAAGGGTTTTCAAACTATGTAACAAATGCCTTTTACAATCCCTGTTCTTTGATGGTTGGGTTTTTATTGAAACTTCTTTTAGAGATCTGCTGTGCAGCATGGTGCTTGTAGATAACAGGTATATTTTACACTGAAAAATCCATTAGGAGGGCGGATCTCCTGTTGTGTTCTTTCTACCATAAAATAAAAATATTTTTCAAAGACTTCTGTTATCTCTAACCTCTCTGTTCTTGAACCCCAAAGTTCTGGATTCTAAATTATTGAACGTGTATATAAATGAATGTGAAGTTGATTTGCACTTAAAGCCAACTGAAAATTTCTTAGAATAAAGAGTTATTGAAGGACAAGGACATAATTCCCAAAATGCCCAATGAAGATCTGATCTATAGCTGATTGGTGTTTAAATTTTTGATGCAGCTATATTGTGCTTGCCACAGATTTTAGAGTAGGAAAACGTGTTATTTTTGCTTTTCAAAGAAATGAGAAGTGCCCTGGCTGGTGTGACTCCATGCACTGAGCACCGGCTGCTAACCGGTTGATTCCCAGGCAGGGCACAGGCCTGGGTTGTGGGCCGAGTCTCCTCCAGTAGGAGCCGTACAACAGGCTACCAGTAGGTGTTTCTTTCACACATCGGTGTTTCTCTCCCTGTCTTTCTCCCTCTGTCCCCCTCTATCTAAAAAATAAATAAAATCTTTAAAAATATATTTAAAGAAACAAGAGAGATGTTTCTTAACAGTACTCAGAGATCACAGAATATTTTTTAAAGCATTAAAAATACTGTGTGGTGAAATCTCAATGTGAACAAGCCACAATTTGTGATAGGACAGCACACCACACTCTAAAAGATTTAATTCTTTGCTGCTTTGAAAGTAAACGCCTGGGATTCTAGAAATCATTGTATTCATTGATTCCTTATGTAAATGAAATGGTATTTGAATCCTCACCTTTCTTGAATTTGCTTCTTAGTGTGGTCTTTAAGTTGTTTATAAAATTCCTGAAGAACTCAGTCTCTATCACATTCAGTTTTCTAATTCTTGGGCAGTTCTGGATCAAAACATAAAGTTTATTTTGCCTTGCAATGCATCAACTTTCTACATTTTAATCATGTAACCTTTTGTTCAGCACATGTTTATTGGCAGCTAGTCTGGGTCAGGCCCCCTGCTGGACCCTGCTGGACAAAAACAGACCAGCCTTGGCTCTCCCGGGCCTTCCAGTCAAGGGCTGCCTGGGATTCTTACCTCTTCTGGAACAAAGCAAATGGCTTTGTTTTTTATGTGAAATGAATTTCCCAAGGAGTTCTTTTGTTTGTTTGGTATAACATTAGAAATGTGAACTAATTGGTGGTAAGTTCAATCTGAATGAAGCCATAAGTCATGGCCAATACCACTGCCAAAAGGTGTTGTAGGGACACCGTCCTGCAAGTTCCACCTCAGATGCATTGGAAAACATTGCACACTCTCCCCTAATGCGTGCGCTATCCTGCTAGAGACTTTGGCTAGCCTAGCAATGGGCAACCTTATTTTTATTACTCCATTGCCCCTAGTTTACTCTACCATGACCCACCCTGACCCCTGGGAGTATGCCAGCAACTAGGATTTGGGGGAAAGGGTGATCTAAATTATAGATCATCTTTAGGGAAATTGTTTTCCTGATCATAAGCCGTGCTCTGTTGAGCCTCATTTGTCTCAAGCAGTTTCTTGGCTTATTAGATGGAAAAAATAGGTCTCGGCCAACTTCTGTCCACTCTTAGTGTCCGTCTGTCATTCTTCATGTTGGAATGGTCAGCTTCAGCCTGTACGATACATAGTTCTTTTTTTTTTCTCCAATTTTTAAAATTTTATTCTCTTTTTCTTTTTTGAGATTTTATTTATTTTTAGAGAGGGAAGGAGGGAGAAAGAGAGAGAGAGAGAAACATCAATGTGTGGTTGCTGGGGGCCGTGGCCTGCAACCCAGGTATGTGGCCTGACTGGGAATCTAACCTGCGACACTTTGGTTTGCAGCCCAACCTCAATCCACTGAGCTACGCCAGCCAGGGCAACGATACATAGTTCTTAGATTTCAAAGTAGCAGTCTGTATTTGTAAACCTCTTTAGTATCTCCCCTCCCTTCCCTTTGACCACTGATTCTGTTTAGTAGGATTAAGAAAGTAACAAAACTGATTCTACAGCATTTTTCAGTAGTGGAAGATTCTTATCAACAAAACCAGATATTAGCCATCTAGGCTGGTTATTAGCCTCTAGGCTGGAGGGTTATAGACTGAAATAGTTTAAATCATTATCCATACATTTTCTGCCACCTAGAAACATCAACTTGAGCATAATACTTTATGATTTAAAAATAAAAGTTGGCTATTAGCCTACCACCAAATCCTTGTTCATTTTTGCTGTTCTTCCTACTCCCTCCACAACAGTTCTCCTCACAGTTCAGTAGGCTGGAGACTTGGAACCTGCTAGGACAGAGTTTATGGCTTTGTGGGGGAGAAAAGTGTGGTCAAGTGTATTTATGTAATTTATAGTATTAAAGTACCTCACACTTCTATAATTTTATTCTAGAATGTCAAAAAAGTCATTCTAAAATTAATATTAGCTTAAGTGAGCCACTTTTTTGTTTGAATGTAACTAGCTCAGAAAAGTGATCCCCACTAGTAACAGTGAACATGCACAGACAGAGGAGTTGCCTGGGGACTAGAAGGAATCAGCCTGGTGGGGCCACCGCTGCTGTGTAGGCACTGGAATGTGCGGTGGCTCACTATGGTTATTGTTTGGGAACTGATTTTTTTTGCTGCTATTTCTTAGGGACACAGCAGGTCAGGAGAGATTCAACAGCATTACCTCAGCTTATTACAGAAGTGCCAAGGGGATCATATTAGTATATGATATCACTAAGAAGGAGACATTTGATGATTTGCCAAAATGGATGAAGATGATTGATAAGGTAAGTGTTGCACTTTTCTCTCGAGATGTGAACTCTTTGCTCATGGGTGTTAATCCTTATAAAAGGAAGGAGAAAACATTTTTATGAAGCATATGCTTTTATATACTGAAGGTCATTTAATCCATATTACAACAATCAAAGTAGGTATATAGTCTGTTACTCATAATCAGCTCATAAGTACTGAAACCAGGATTTTTACTCTGGTACCCTGGGCTGTCTGACTTCAAAGCCCACACACTCATTCCACGATATCCGGCAGCTCCTGTGGAATTAGATAAAGGGCATCTTATTTCTGCAGAAAGTTCACACGGATGCTCATTTTGTGAGTGTCCACCGAGAAACAACCTCCAGGTGATGGCCTTTTCCACAGTCGGTGCCTGTGGACACCCCAAGGGCCTCGGTCATCTACAGGACCATCTGCCCTTAAAATTACAGGTGTCCTACAGGTTCACATTTTGAACAGGAAATTTTCCCCTTTGGCTCACGATCAGCTATATATAGATACCATTATATATATGTGTGTGTGATTAATGTAAACTGTAGGTTCCCCTCTTAAGATATGTGTGCCCAAAATACGCATTCAGAATATAGCAGTTTGGGGTGAGATGTGATGGTATACAGTGACCACATTTTGAGCTTTCTTTCCCTTAATGCAATAAATTGATGTTTAATTCCTTTGCGTAACAAGCACATGCAATGTATTACAAATTGTATTTTTGTTTACTGATTGTATTAAACCATCTATTAGATAACGTTGGACAATGTTAGCCAGTTTATCAGTGTCTGCCTCTTTGAAAATGTGTTAAGGGCCCAGGGTTACAGAGATGAATGGAGCCAGAGGCTGGTTCTGTGGCGGTATCTCTGATCACTGGTTTCCTCCCACACTGAAGCCACACAGGGTGCTGCTAAGGAAGTTAGAAAGGGGCAGTCCTAATTGCTGGTGTAATTTTTCAGAATGTAATGAATTTAAAACCAAAAACAATGGCCTCTACCTTAAGCACCCCATTAGGTACTGCATTTTGTGATTCTGCCCAGGTCTTGAGGTCTAGTGCTCTCCTCTCCTTCATTCTTGACTCTTGCTTTTTGCTCTTTTTTGCGTGAGTGCAGTTCATTTCTTGGGTGCTTATTGTGTACCAGGCAGGCACTGTTCTTACTCCACACCAACCTGTTCCTCTTACTTGTGCATTGGTAATTAGGAGACCAAGACCCTGAATAGCCTGGCCAAGGTCCCGTCATTCAGGTGCCTTTTATTGCAGTCTATCTCAAATACTTTTTAGAATACAAAATTAAATAAATTATTCAAGAAATTTTAACCTTTTTAAAGAGAGAATTGTGCCTGTACATTTTTTAAAACTCAGAAATATAGCTTAACTACTATTTTCCTGATTGTAAAATCAATGATAAAACTCACACTATAGAATATTTGGAAAATCAAAGCACAAAAGTAAATTTTTAGATCTGTAGTGCTGCCATCCCGAAAAGCCAAATTGGAGTTATGCTTCACTCCGTGCTACATCCTGCTTGTTTCAGGAAGTAATCTGTCGTGACAGCCTTCCTGTGTCCTTAAGAGTTCTTCCAAAGCATGTTTTTTTAATGGCTGCATTCTTTCATAGACCTTAACTTATTTAATTCTTTGTTTTGTTGGATTTTCATAGTTTCTTGTTAACAATCATTTTTGAGTACTGTAGAGCTTTGCTTGTGTTCTGAATCATTTCCTTAGGGTAGATTCTGAGGAATTACTGGTCAGAGACTAAAAACATTGTGGTTCAGAGTGCCTGTGAACATGCTGCTTCCTAAAAATACTGTGAGCCTCTGACACCCACACAGTCAGGTCTGCCTGGGACGGCGGGGGTGCTCCAAGATTCGTAGAGGGAACGAACACATGAGTGAAAAATATTGGATTGATTTACAGTTCCTGTCAACGTATGACAATGCCCATCTTTGAAATGCACCTTCTTTTAAAATTCCACAGTATGCTTCAGAAGATGCAGAGCTTCTTTTAGTTGGAAATAAGTTGGACTGTGAAACTGACCGAGAAATCTCCAGACAGCAAGGCGAAAAGGTGAGAGAAGTGTGGGGAACAGGAGGAAGAAGTCACAGTTCCCACACTTGTACATTTAATGGTTGATACACTTTTTCCTTAACAGATTATTATTTTAATTATGAAATAGTTATATAGTTACCACTCAATCTCATCTTTCTTGCGTTTGCTTTTTTTTTTTTATTTTCTTGCTTCCTTAAATTCATTTTGAAATGGAAGAAAAATACCACATTAGTATATGCTGCATTATTATCTAACCTGACATTTTATACAGAGAAACATTTTTTTTAATTGATTTGAACCCTGGCAGGTGTGGCTCAGTGGATTGAGTACGAGCCTGCAAAATGAAAGGTCACCAGTTCGATTCCCAGTCAGGGCACATGCCCGGATTGAGGGCCAGGTTCCCCACTGGGGGCATGCAAGAGGCAACCGATCGATGTATCTTTCACACATTGATATTTCTCTCCCTCTCTCCTTCCCTTCCCCTCTCTCTAAAAATAAATAAATATTTTTTTAATTGATTTGAGAGAGAGAGACAGCAATTTGATATTCCACTTATTCGTGCACTCATTGGTTGATTGAACCCACAACCTTGGCATACCAGGACAGTACTCTAACCAACTGAGCTACCTGGTCGGGGCCAAAAAAACAAACAAAACACATTTTTTTAAAGCATAAAATTGCTTTCATGATTTTCTCTTACTCTAATGTATTTTAACCTTCCTTGAAGAATCAGAGATACTCACATTTTAAATGTCAGGTACATTGCAATTCTAGAAAATTGGGCATATAATTTGACTTAGAAGTCCCAGTATCACCATAGGGATTTTGTTATGTTACTTAATACTATGGGGATTTGCTGGACTTGTGAATTTTACAGTTAAGCATAAGCAGGCTTTTACAAACCTTTAGTCCACCCCTCCCCTTAAAGCTGAAGCCCAGAAAGTATGATTCTCCTGTCATAGCCTCATGCTCGTGCATAAGACTACATTGCACCCCACACAGAGAAAAAAATTTTTTCCTTTAGTTTGCACAGCAGATAACTGGGATGCGGTTCTGTGAAGCAAGTGCCAAGGATAACTTCAATGTGGATGAAATATTTCTGAAACTTGTTGATGACATTCTGAAAAAGGTAAAAAAAAAAATATGTCAAAGTATTTAATCTGAAACCTGTTGTTTCCTTTATTACTTTTTTGGTTCAGAATTACTTATTTTGAAAGAGAAGTACCGCAGGTTTTCCCCAGTGTCAGGAACCAGGTGAAGCTGTTAACTCAGCCAGTGGCATCCAGCCAGCTATTGGCAGCTCCTTCCCACTCCGCAGTTTTTTGGTGTCCTTGGTATTGATGTCCAGTATATTTGCTTAGCCTTAAATATAGTTGGTGGAGTGACTGGAGCTGGTATACAGTATGCTATGTTTATTTGACATTTGCTTTTCTTTCTCATTTTCCCATGAGGATTCAGTTAGATACAGATGGCAGAGACCTAACAGAATACACAGGTATCTTAGCTGAGAAGCCCCTTCCTTGCCTCACTCAGAGCTCTGCTCTCCAGCGGGACGCTGATTCCATTGCCAAAGCCTTTCCATGATGCTCAGTGCCAGGAAAATTGCTAGACAGCTTCACTTCAAGCATCTTTAGGCTTACATTCAAAAAAATTTTAGTAACAAGCTTTTGTTACTATTATATATTATCTGTTCAGTTCAAACGTAATTCAGAAGCTTCTAATAAAACGGTTGGTTTATTAGGTTACTTCCCTCTTTAGTAATGCTGTACCCATTTGTTAATGCACTAAGCTTCCATTGTACTGGGTCGTGAAAAATACATGTGGGTGAGGTCTGTCTTGTCTCTTCCACCACAGGGTGCAGAGTAAGTGGGGCAGTGTTGGTGTTGTGACATGATACGCCTTGAACTTGGTTTTTGTTTCTTGGCTTAATATTTGAATGTCTAATTAAACTTTGATGATTAGAGAGCTGTATTTAAAAATACTTTATTCTTACGTAATTGTACGATTTGTAGAGGACTTACATATACATTATTTAGTTAAAATGTATTTTTGTCTCTTGTTTATCCTGAAGATGCCCCTGGATATTTTAAGGAATGAGTTGTCCAATAGTATCCTCTCATTACAACCAGAACCCGAGATTCCACCAGAATTGCCTCCACCAAGACCACACGTCAGATGCTGTTGATTTTGCTACTTTGGAGACAGTGGAATGGTTCCTAGGAAGGGGAAAATGCTCTATTCTGCACTACAATCATTTTGAAAATTTCCTTTCGCACTTTGTAATCCAAGTCAGAGCTATACACTAACTTGTAAATATGCAAATATGCAATTCCTGGTAAGTTTTGGTTATAAATTACATATATCCCTCCAAATTATTATATTTCATTCATTATCCCAGTGTCTAATGTACATACTGGGAAATGTAGTACTTCTAATATGAAGTGAGAGAGATGAAAGGTATAATGTTTTTTGAAATAAATAATATAATTGTCCTTGTTAATTATATTATGAGGACAGAAGATATTCTGATAAGAAGAAAGAACGTGGTGCTTTGCTTACTGTTTTAAAGAAAATTTGTAAAACTGAAGACTTTTTGAAGAAAAAAGAAAGCTATCTTAAGTGCTTTTTCTTTATTTACAAGACATTTCCCCCAGCTGTAGCATCTTGCAAGTATTGGAGTGTTTCTGCCACAAAGCAAAGCTCCACCCATAGCTGTCATTGAAGGTCACTTATACTGTTACGTAACAGTAGAATGTTGCTGGTTAGAGCATAGGATTTGACTTGGTCCTGAGGCCAGAGTCTCTCTCGTAGTTTCTGAATGGATATACCTTATGAAACAACGCTGCTGTCCTAAACAAATCCTGTTTAAAGGGATTTTAAAGAGATACCTTTTACTATATCAAAGAACATACATGTATTTGCCTAAACACTCTATACCTTTGTAATGATAAAACTTCTCCCCCTTATGATAAAGCTTATTCCTATTAAGCTTAGACTGTGGTTTGGGTGGTTTTTTTGTTTTGTTTTGTTTTTTGGTTTGGTTTTTTTGTTTTTTATTTTTTTTGGTCTGATAATGAATTTGTGAACTCTATCTTTGGTATACCTTTTATTAAACTGCACTGTTTTGTTTAGTCGAGATAAGTAATTATGTATTTGAATAACTTGGTGTGTCTTGAGTGTTGTGATATGAAAAGCATTGTGGTCTTTCTACACTAATGAAGTGCAAATAAAATTTTGTATTTATGAATGATGGTTGAGTTGCCACATTTATTTGTGTCATTGTAAATTGAATATCTGATAATGTTTTTCATATACTCCACATCTTAATCTTTTCAGTGTTTGGGACAAGAATAATACAGTGCCCTTCACCATGGAAAAATAATTTGGCAGTTTTTCAAAAAGTTGAGCAGACTACAGTGTGACCTGGCAATTCCACTTCTGGATATATTCACCTAAAAATTGAAAGCAGCAACAAAAGCATATTGTACTTACAAACCAGTCTTCATAACAGCATTATCCATAATAGCTAAAAGGTGGAAACATACCAAATACCCATCAGTAGATAAACAAAAGTTCAAACAATGGAATATTCTTTAAAAGGAAGGAAGTTCTAAACATGCTACAAAATGACTGAACCTTGACATTATGTCAAATGAAATAGCCAGTCACAAAAGGACAAATAATATGGTATGACTCCGCTTATATGAAGTTCGTAGAGTAGTCAATTCATAAAGACAGAAAGTAGAATGGTGGTTGCCAGGGGCAGGAGGGTAGGAGGTGGGGATTAAGGGATTAGTCTTTAATGGGGACAGAGATTTAGTTTGGAATGATGAAAAAGTTCTGGAGCTGGCCCTTGTCAGCTGGCTCAGTTGAAACATCCTGTACACCAGAAAGGTTGTGAGTTCAGTCCCTGGTCAGAGCACATACCTAGGTTGTGAGTTTGAGCCGTTGTTAGGGCATGCGTGCAGGAGACAATCGATGTTTCTCTCTTCCTCTCTAAAATCAATGAACATATCTTTGGGTGAGGATTTTCTTTTTTCAGTTCCTTAAAAAAAGAGTTGTGGGCTTGGAGGTGGTGGTGGTTCCACAACAACGTGCATGTACTTAATGCCACTGAATTGTACATTTAACAATGATCAAATAAAGCCCTGGCTGGTGTAGCTTAGTGGATTGAGCACTGGTCTGCAAATTGTAGAAGTCACCAGCTCCATTCCCAGTCAGGGCACATGCCTGGGTCATGGACCAGGTTCCCAGCAGGAGGTACGTAAAAGGTAACCCATCTGTGTTTCCTTTTCCCTCTCTCTAAAAACGTAAATAAATAAAATCTTTTAAAAACTAAAATGATCAAATATATTTTGCTGTGTATAATGCACATCCACATTTTGGGTCTAAACTTGGAGGGAAAAAATCTTCCAATTCAATTTTTTATTTATATTTAGATACTTGTTTTTTGTATTGTAAAGGAATTTTAGTATTTATTTTTAACATATTATGGTACAAGGAATTTTATGTAACAAATGGTTACAAAACACAGCAGATACAAGGTATTTCCATACTACACATGTATAATGCACATTCTTATTTTTCCCTCAAAAATTTTCACAAAAGTCATATATGGCCAAATACTGTGTGTGTGTGGGTGTGTGTAGATAATGTCTTCAAGAAGACTTTCTTTTTAAGATATGTACCACCAAAGTACACAACATTTCTAATGTAAGTACCTTTTATCATTCAACAGTTAGTAATGGATTGTGCCAATTGTTTACCTGTTATCTCACCCCCTTCCCACTCTAGTTCTATCTCTTCTCAGGGCTGGGACTCTAAAGGATCTGCCAGGCCCTCCTGCTCTTCCTATTAGACCTGCTGATCAGGGAAACGAGGGATTTGGGAGGGGAAAAAGGAATGTGCTTGCCATTTCTCTGTTCCCATCAGCCCCCTGCAGTAACACCCTACAGCCAGCTCCAGCTTCCTGTGGGCTCCCTGCCCCAGACTACAGTCTCACTGCACCCCACTGGGCATACCAGAGCATTGGGGCTGGTCAGAGCTGCCCTCTGGGCCACAAACCCAGGCCATCCCAGCGTATGCTAGACAGCCCTCCTAAGTCCCCACCAGGCCCTGCTCCTCCTCAGTGTCCGAGTGTGCCATGCCCCTCCTCAGAAGCACAGAAGCTGCAGGATCCTTCCTCAGCTCCCAAGTTTTGGCAACACCCCTTCCCCATTTTTGCCTTCCAGCCCCAGGAGTAGCAGTTACTTCCTTCGATTTATCTCTGAGTTACCTTAGCATACCCAGTTTAGCATTTTAACAACTGGCTACTTCTCTGTATTAAATCCCTCTGTTTAATGATGCCTCTGTCTGTTTTCCTGACTGCTAGATAACTTGATATCAACAGTGATCTCAGGAAACATCATCAAAGATGAGTTTAAGAAAAAAAAATGTTTGCTGTGGGCATTTGTGGCTAATTCATCAATCTGTGGTCTGTTTTCTATTTACAACTCAATCTTAGCTCCTATTATTTGTACCTGTCAGCTGCAGTATTAACAAAAGTACCATCTTGTTCAGTAGAGTAGTTGGAGATTAAAGGTAGGACTTTGTAAGAAGTGTTAGTGTGATTTATTTAGCTCTTGAGTTTGATTACATTTTTGCCCTCTGGTTTTCCAGTATACTTGGAGGTTTTTCCTCCAATGGGTAGGGTTTTGTGACAGTACCACCAGGACTTTCAGTTTCTATAGTATTATCCTCCATAATTTTTTATGTGTCAGTTTATTCAATATCCATTTTGTGGATGGCCCTCATGACAGGTGGCCTGTCTTGCCCAGATCATGACACAATAGGCCATCGTGTGATAAGCTGAAACTCAATTTCTTCTCTCCTGAGTTTTAAATGGGAACTCTATTAAACAGTTGTAAATATATATTGTCCTTATAGCTCATTGTCTTAGGTTAGTGGTTCATTGGATTCTGACAGAAACTGAGATGACTAGATACAGGTGTTAATGAACATAGACTTACCATGTAAATGGAGAAGAATAAAATCCAAGGAAGTACAAATAAAAATCCCTGAATACCCCAAGATCTGTAGATTTTGTTATGGCTACAAAATCATATTTTCAGTCTGTGAACTTGATAGCAAGCTTAGCTGGAGTTCACCTTCATGGAGAATTAATAGTGGGTTCAATTACTCTGAACGTGGTGGGGAACTAATGAGTTATTCTGCATATACAAATCTCCATCCCCTCCCCTTTTTACTGTCTGGATCTGGAAGTGCTGTTTCAAGTTGGTAGGCAGTTTATGGTTTCAAGTTCTGAATTTTGAAATTGAGTGGTGAATATTAGTTGATAACAATAAAGCAAAGATATTAGTCCTGTTTGTCTCTAGCTGTGAAACAAACTACCTAAAATTAGTTGCTTTTTTATGAGTGACTTGCATTACCAGGGAGAGAGGAAGTACTGTATTTCTTGGACCACAAGACACACCTAGGTTTTAGAGGAGGAAAATAGGAAAAAAGTTTTGAAGCAAAAAATGTGGTAAAATATTTAATAACATAAATAACATAATATTTCACCAATGTAAATGTAAACAGAATTCAGCAGCAGCATTTCCAACCATCATTCCTCCCAAATTGGGGGTTGGGGGTACATCTTGTAGTCTGAAAAATATGTTACTTGTCACATAGATTATTTATTACCTGGAAGTTGTGACGAGGCCCACAGACTGCAGATGCAGGGGTATCACACATGATATACAAGCCTGTTGTTTATGTTCCAGTACTGTAGTCAACAGAATTGAAATGTATCATGTGGTCGCTCAATTCAAAACTGTGTGCCGATGTGCTACAGGGGACACAACCAAGATAAATACAATAGTCACTGCCCTTAAGAAGTGCATCAAGCGCGAGAGACAGGCCCATAACTGGAGTACGAGACAGAGCTTCTGTCATGAAAGAACAGATGATACACAGTCCTGGGAAGCAGAGGAGGCAGTGCCAAGGCCAGTGTGGGGAGCAGTGAAAGTGGGGGACTAGTCTTCCTTGGCCTTCAGGAATGAGTAGGCTACTGGCTAGTAGCAAGGCAGAGCATGAAGAACAGTGTATTCAAAAACCCAAGTGACCCTTTGCTAAGAGGAGACTGTCCATAGTGAAGCATGCATTGCTGCTGTCCCAATCAATTACAGCTTCCTAAATACTTGACTGCCTCCTGTAAATGTTTGATTAAGCCAGTTCTCATGTAGAGAGAAGCAATTACTGGAAATGTAGTTGAACTGTCTGCATGCACACACAAAACCTAAAACGTGTCACATTTTAATAAATTATTACTGAGAACAGTTCTGAAAATATGCCTTCCTATTTTTAGAAAGCATGAACTAATGAGATTGATCCATTTATGAACTGGTTATCTCTGTTCCATAGGCTTAAACCATAACCCTATCTGACAAAGTGAGGAGTATAATCCAACCCAAATGTGCCCGCTTTGGCAAAAACAGCTCAGCACACACACCCAGTGAGATGGCAAGCGCTCCCCAGCACAGTGGCCTAGCTGAGACTTCAGGAGCTCCCAACACAAGAGAAAACATCACTATCACTGACTGACTGCAGAGACTGGGTGTTTAACTTTTGATGGGCAAGATTAACAATAAAGCCCCTAATTTTACTAGATCTCTTTCTTTAAAAAAAAAAAGTTGCAGACCTTTCTGATGCTACCCCAAACAGTTCAACAGTTCAACATATTCTTATGATTAAAGTGGGGTGCATTTCATTATATCAAAGAACATCGATTTGTTTTAGAGACAAATAAAAAATGCCACCTCATCAGGCAGACTCTAGTGCTAAAACTCAGAGGAAGACTGTGGTCTCCGTGTGTCTCAAACCTGTAGTCCTTGGGGTCACCACCTTTACATTTCGGGTCAGCTAGTTAAGCCCAGTTTCCTCAGGGGCCCCTCAGTCCAATAATGATTTCTAACCATCTTGTCGAAATATAACTCAGAAAACAGTTTTTCATTTCATAATTCAAAGCAAAGGTTTCAGTATAAGTAACTTCCTAGTTTGTATTCCCATCAAATTATAATCGGTCATTCACAAGTGCAGATAACTGGGTGTTGGATCTTGCCATGCATTGAACAGGAGAGAGCTGGGAGCAGAAAGATGTTGAGCTCCTAAAGGGGAATCATGAAAAAAGGAAGGAAAATGGTTTAGAAGGGACATGAAGCCAAAGACCACTGGGCCTACTTCCATTTGGCTGGAGTCGGCCTTCTG